CGTGGCGCGAGGGCTGCGCGGGCTGCGTTGCGCTCACTAGGCCGCGCGGGCGGCTCCTGGGGGGGAGCGTGTCTGAGGGAGCGGAATGGAGGCTCCGGCCGTTTCCTCCTTCCCCATTCTCCCCATCGTTCCCGTTCTCCGCGAGGCAGAGCGCGGCGGGGAAGCTCTTGAGAAGCGGGAGAGCGGTGGAAACCCCGCGGGCTCACGTGGCCGCCCTGCAATTACGCGGGGTGTGTGCGTGAGTCTCCCGGGGGCAAATGCTGTGCTCCAGGTGCCCGCGTGCACCGGCACGTGGAGCTCGTCCGCCCCGAGGGTAGCGCAGGTGAAAAAGCCCCGGGGGTAGAATCCCATAGTTGTCTAAAGTAAAAGTACCCCTGGTCCAATACCAGAGCGCTGTGACGTGTGTCCTGCGAGGGCAGGAGCCGTAAGGAATTGTGACTCTGGCAAACAGCTGCTTTTACCATATGGCCTTTCTACCTTTAAAGTATTTTTGAGGCTGTAGTTGGTGTATTAAAGATCGTCCTCTGATCTTTACTTTCTCCATAAATCCTATTTAAGTCCGTGTGTGGCTTTTGTGAAGTGCAGGATTAAGGTCTACGGTTGTATTGTTTCACTTGTTATCAGGAAAACAGCCTATCCTAAAGAGTTATGCATTCAGTTAACCTTGAAGTAGAAAATGGTGGAATGAAATAGGAATTGCATTTTTCCCAGCTATAGGAATAGTTCTAAATTGGAAACAAATTATGTGAGTGCTTTTTGAGCAGTCACATGTCTTTCCTTTGTGATTATACTTGTGGTTCGTTTCAGAGGAAAATGTATTTAATTACCAGAACAGTTGATGAAGAAAATTATTGTATACAAATTCTGAAGAGAATGTGGAACATATTTGGTCCCTTTCAGTAATTCATTCTGAAAACTGTCATTTGTATAGATTGCCTATGGAATCTTTTGTTTTGTGTTCTTATGACTGATGTGTATCCCGAGTTCATCTCTTTTGCTCAGTCTGGGGAAGAATAGCAGTAACTTAGCATAGATTTTTGATTGACTTTTTTCCAGTCAGGGCCATTTTATATTATATGCACATAAAATAACCTACAATGAAATCTGTATGAGTGCTGATGGTGGGGGGAGGGATGATTTCAAATAGCGCCAAATTCTGTTCAGTAGATTATGCTCTTTTGTTAGATCACCTCATGAAGCAGTTAACTCCTAGTGGCTTGAATAGCTGCTTTAGACTAGTTTTGTTGTTTTGTATATCTGAAAAATTCGCTTTTTTTTTTTTTCAAATGTTGTAACTTGCTATTTTTGTATTGCAAAAATGTGGAATTATAAGTCTCAGACAAGTTTTTTCTTAAACTAATTTTCAGATGAGAAGGTGCTAGCATATGCATTTAATTATTCCAAGATCCTAAACTCTTAGGGAGCTTAAAAAAAGCCTTGTAGAGTTGATGTATGATCTAATCAGAATAAATTAAAAACCTGCTCTTATTTTATCACAGACTAACTAGGGGTTTTTGTACATCATCTAATTAGAACTAAAAGCATGCTTTGGCCATGTTTTTTATTCAAGATTTTTTTAATTGTTTCTTTAAGCTTTCAGTTTGCAACTTGTATAAATAGTAAGAGGATATATAAAAATGTATTTATGGTATTTCAGGTCTGAAGACTTGCGTCGTGAATTTGGTCGTTATGGGCCTATAGTAGATGTGTACGTTCCACTTGATTTCTACACTCGGCGTCCAAGAGGATTTGCTTACGTTCAATATCCTTTCTTCAGATGGCTGATTAGTGAGGGGTGTTGAAGTTTGAAATTCAAGTTTGTGTAAGAGGTAACAAATCTCAATGAAAAAGCAGTTTTTGTATGTTGTATCTAATAAATGTCTTGTGGCGTGTTCCTTTTTTTTTCAAAGTAACTCCTCACAAATTACTACTTTTTTTTCAAATTTTTAAACAAGATCCAGTAAGAGCTATTTTGTTGCATATGGATCATTCAGATTGATATTATATAATTTAAATGAGTTATCAGTGACTCAGAAGTGTCTACCACATTTTTTAATATAACTGATACTGAAAGTAAATTTGTTCTTGTACTTAGCAAATTAAATTGTAGCTGGTATTCATTGTTAATTTAAAAACATGGAAACTGGAATCACTTGATCAAAAGCAGATTGTATAAAAAATGAGGTAAACTTCTTTCTTTCATATTGTCCCCTAATTTACTGTCCTCTGTTGTTGCCTCAGAGAATGTAAAGCTGTACAGTAATGGCGACCCCAAAGAGAAAGCATGAAAGAACCTTTAGAGTAGAGTTCAACAATTAAGGCAAGTAGACAAGCCAAAGACCTCTTAAGGATCAGGCTTGAAGAGAAGGGAGAGTTTGGGAAAAGAAAAAGTAAAGAAAAGCTGGAAGAAGGACAAGCCATAATGGGAGACAAAGCTTCGCTTTATCTACAAAAGGGGGAAAAGGTTGTTTTTCAAAGTAAAAGATAAAGCCATCTGTCATTTTTGACCAACATCTCATGACAAGTCCTTCTGACAAGCACTTAAAGAGTTAAAGGTCAAGATGAAGTTGAATGGTGGCCAAGATTAAAGGAGTCATACCTAATGTATCCTACAGAATAACAGGTTTTTTTTCTCTATTTCTCGTGTAAGCGGTAACTTTTGATAAATTATTCTGGTTTAGTCTGACAACCTGTATGATTTCAGTTGTGGGTGGAATTGAAATTGTAACGGTCTTGAATGAAATGTATTCATTCTTGGTTTATTTATTAAGTAGTATACCTGTGTGGTACCCAGCAGATGGATGAAGTTGGTATGTGGACTGATAAAGACGATTTATTCTTTCAGCTCAGCTAGACAGAGGAATATGAGTGAATTTCAGTGATCATTCTTGTGGATTAAAGATGAGAATGTCTAATCTGTAGCTTATAGTGAAACGCTGTGCTTTATTCTGTAATGGAACATGATGGTCTGTATTTGAGTAACAGTTGCTGAAAGTCAAAATTAGTTTTAAAGGAGTAAGTGAAAGAGTAAGTTTCATTAATACAGTAATGAATGCAGAATTTTCACTTTTTACTGCTTATGTTGCTTAAGTATTTTAAGAGTTGGAATTTCCCTCTGTTTGTTTGGTAAGGCAAACCTAGAGAATCAGATCACTAATGGTTTCTTTAAAAAAAATACTTTTGATACATGGGTATGTATGGAGAAAAGAAGGCTATGGAGTTGCAACCAAGACTATTTAACTTTTAGTGATTAATCACTGTATTTAATATTCTCTCCAAAAATTCTCCTATAACTTTACAATAATGGGAGACAGGTTTTTAGTGTGCCCTGTAGCATGATTACAGAATCCAGGAAGAACTGTCAATTTGAAGTAATTACTCAGATTCCCAAGTACCTTAACACTTAGCACATTTGAAGATGTCCGTGATGCTGAAGATGCCCTGCATAATTTGGATCGGAAGTGGATTTGTGGCCGTCAGATAGAAATCCAGTTTGCGCAGGGTGATCGGAAAAGTAAGTTGTCTTGTGCATAGTATCAGTATGTGGTTTTAGCCTTAATGTTAGTAAAGTCAGTCCTGAGACAACATTATGCAACCATTATTTTAGCAAAGAATATTTTTTATACTTTATAGCAAACACGGTTGGTCTTTCTTTGCGTCTAGAAAAGAGCCCTAGAATTTCTTGAAGTACAGAGGTTATTTTACCATAAGAATGACTATATTAGAACTGGTCGAGAAACTTTAACTAGAACAGTTATTTCATCATAAAATGTGCTTTCATTGCAATCCAAAATGTGATTTGTTTGCAGGCACATGTCAACAACTTTCGGTGCATGCGTTATATTTTAATGTTGAAACAAAGTGAAATGCTTTGTTGTGTCTGAATGAAATGTTGAAATGTTTGTATTTTATAAATATGTTGTCACGTAGTGTGGGGGAGTCGCTAATTAACTCGACTGTCTGATAAGCATATCAGATTGTTGATTAGTCTTTAACATCGACTACATGATTAGTCAATAAGGTGAGGCACTCTGCAGAGCTACAGTGCAAGCCGGGACTGAGTAGTCCCAGCTTGTACCAGGTCCTGGACTGCTGCACCTCTGTCTCCTCCTCTTCTCCCCCCTCAGCTTATCAGGTAGTCGCTTACATCCCTATTTGCTACCAGTTGGTATTTGTGAGTGTAGGTGTTTGGCTTGAGCACTGCTATACCCAAACAATACTCTGTTTGGACTGGCAGCTGGACATCCTAAAGACTGCTCTAAGCATCAGTAGTGAGACATAAAGATGGTGTGCCACAGTGCTTACATTTCTCTCCTGTTCCCTTCCAGTCCTCATCAAGAACACATTGGCTTGAATTAAATTAATTTTGAAAACATGGATGCCACCACTACTGCATAATTGAATTTCAAAGAGGGAGCAGGGAGAACCCTAGAAATTAGAAAGTTACATTTGACTCTTTAACAAAAATGATACTTCTATTCTTCTGCAGCTCCAAATCAAATGAAAGCCAAGGAAGGGAGAAATGTGTACAGTTCTTCTCGTTACGATGACTATGACCGATATAGGCGATCTAGAAGCCGGAGTTATGAAAGGAGGCGGTCTAGAAGTCGTTCTTTTGATTACAACTATAGAAGATCTTATAGTCCTAGAAAGTAAGTGTAGTGTTTGGCTTCAACTACACAGCAGTCAGTTGGAGAAGAAAAACCATACTATTTAGTTTTGAATACTTTTTTTTTGTATGCTCACATTGTAATTACATGTGGGAGTTACTGTATCTTGCATGCTTCATCAAAATGGTAATATTGAATGAAATGCAATTCTGTGCTTCATATTAAAGAATTAAAAGCAAATGCACATCTCAAAAAACCCTAAATTTATTAATCATCTATATAAATACAAAGGTATTTGTCACCGTTTACTTTTTCTGATGTACCTTTTTAGCAGTAGACCTACTGGAAGACCTCGGCGTAGCAGGAGCCGTTCGGACAATGATAGGTAACTTTACACCATTTAAATTAACTAAATTATGATAATCCTTAATTTTAGATTAAAAATTACTCCTGCTAAAAATGGTTTTAAAATGTTCTAGATGTCTAAGAATAGCATTTTTATGTTCAAATCTCTCTCCCCTTTATTCTGATAGGTTCAAACACCGCAATCGATCTTTTTCAAGATCTAAGTCCAATTCAAGATCACGATCCAAGTCACAGCCCAAGAAAGAAATGAAGGCTAAATCACGTTCTAGGTCTGCATCTCACACCAAATCTAGAGGCACCTCTAAAACAGATCCTAAAACACAGTATAAATCCAGCTCAAGATATGAAAAGGAACCAAGAAAAAAAGAACCAGCTAGATCCAAATCTCAGTCAAGATCACACTCTAGATCTAGGTCAAAATCCAGATCAAGGTCATGGACTAGTCCCAAGTCCAGTGGCCACTAACCGTGTAACCATCTTGTTTTTAGGCATGAATCATTCATTACACACAGTTCAGTTAAATTATCAGGAATATGATGTTGCAGCAGTGCTAAAAAGAACTTTTTGTCAGTTTTCCCTGTAGCAGGCAATGGTTATAATTAAAGTTACAGTGTTGAGAAGCCACTGAGAGTCTACTTTGTGAAATGTCATGGGCAGCTGTTGATTTGATTGTGGTGTCTCTATGTATATTTTTGTAAAGATTTGCATTTTTGATGCTTAAAATATTGGTGATATCTTGACCATAATTTGCAACATTGTCCTATTAAAAATTTCACATCCACTGAGAAATTGGTACAAATTGGTGTGGAGTCGTTAAACTAAAGTTTAACTTTTTCTTCAGTATTAAAAGTTTGTAATATGAATGGAAAACTGGGCAGCTGTAGTACAATGCTGTGAAATTGACTGGCAACATTACATTTCCATTGTTTAAAGGGAGGAAATCTCCTTTTTCTTTTGCTGACCTACAGCAAGTAGACACATGGTATTGAAGTTTCTTGTTAACCCCACCATCTGGAGAGATGGTGCTAACATTGCATATGGTATGTGGGGAGAACCAGTCTTGAGGATTCCTGGGAAATAACACAGTGTTGTGAGTGTTGTCAGGACAGGGCTTCATTGCTTTTACCTGGTTGATGATAGGTTTAAAAAACAGTTGAAAATACAAAGGTCAAATGTAAGCATATGACAGAGCAGCTAGAATATTAGGTTAATGTGTGTACATTTTTTTCAGTTTTTGTATCTATTCTAAATTTTAGTGAGCAATTAATCATAAATTGCTTAGTTTCCTGCTGTTAGATGCAAGTAGATTGTTTCAAGTTGTGTGTGTACAGTATGTAAGAACTAAACTTTTATGCCAATTACTCTTGTGGTTAGTTGGTGTATTCATAAATATCAAACTCTAGCCATCTTTGTGAATAACTAAAGGCTTGCTTTTACACTTTAAAAATGTATCTTGTCAAGCAATCCTAAATTATGTCCCTTCCTCCCAAGACTGGATAGTGCTTTGGTTACAAGTCTTCATTTTAAATTACTTAAGAACAAATCTTTCAGGTTGGGTGTGAATTAGAGCTGCATCTCTAGCTATTTTGTTTATCACACATACAGTATCTTGAGTAAATTGATATGAAAATAGTATAATATCAGTATGTAATCTCACAAGTATTTCTCTGGAAGGCAAGACATATGGTATAAGGAAATGGCTTCTGGCATTGAACTTGTAGAATTTGAGACAAAAGCCAGCATCAGACACCTCATGTTCTTTGCTGTCTGTATAGTATATTAAGATGTTGGTGAAAGTTTCATTTTTAGAGAATTACTTAAAGATTTTGGTTTTAGTAATTTCAGCAGGGCCTCTGAGGAAACAGACAGCTTTTAAATACTGGTGGTTGAATGCATAAGAAGTTGGTTCTAGAACCTTTGTATACTTGATAGTATTTCTAATTTTTTTTACTCTTTCCAGTTAATGTTCATGTTCTGCTATGCAATCATTTATATGCACGTTCTTTTAATTTTGTAGACTTTCCTGGATGTATAGTTTTAAAACAACAAAGTCTATTTAAAACTAGCAGTAGCGTGCAGCTCTAGCAGAGGAAAGTTGTGGGATTAAACTTTGTATTTTCTTTCATATAGGGGCTTCTAAAAAGGTATTTTTATATGTTCTTTTTAACAGATATTGTGTACTACCTTTAAAACATCAATGTTTTGATCAAAATAACTAAAGACCCAGCTTATTTTCTGCTTGCTGTAAATTTAGCAAACATGCTGAAATAAAAAAAAGAAGTAAATACTGATCCACTGGAGTTTTTGAAGCTTTAGAATTTGATTTGAGAGCAGCATTAGGAACGAAGCTATAATCTTGTGTAAAGTAAGACGACTTATTTACAGTTTAATGGTAAAATGGAACATGAATTCCTTTTTTCATTTTGCCCTGACTTCGAGGATCAATATTGTGCAACAAATGTACAGATTTCCTTATTTGTCATATTTAAGATAATTCAGCTAGATGTTGGGTGATTACTGTGGGCTAACCAGCATTTAAAAATGAATGAGGAAATAAAATTGAGATAACAGCTATGTCATGCATAGTACCAAAAGTATTTACAACTCAATTGAAATCGGCTGTTTCAGAAAGGGAATTATCAGAACATGGCCAAGTTGGGAGGGAATGTTTGTGTATTTGTGCCAGTCAAGTCACAGCCCCTGCAGACACCATCATCTTTATCCAATGCATACACCTTCTTACTGCTCTCAGAACAAATAAGTCTGTCTTGTGCAATATTATGTATATATGTCTTTTCTTTGGAGTGGTGAGGAGGGAGGGAACTATGCTTTTCTGTGGTAAAATAGAATTTATCCTAATGCAGATTCTTTAGGCATTCTTATTTTGCTTCTAATCCATACTTACAGGTTTGTTTCAGCAGTAACGGAAGGTTCTACTGGAACTTACATTCCATGTTACTAGGTTTAAATCCAAAAGTCCATGCACCCAATATAATAGAATATTAAAACTGGAAGGGACCTTGAGAGATCGAGTCCAGTCCCCGTATTACTGAAAATCTTCAAGATGCAGTGGATGAAATAGCTGGGTTTCAGACTAGAACTGGTGATAAATGCAGGCATCTCACAAACAGACAGATGATTCTGTTACGTACCATTTTAAATGCTTTTACTCTAGCTTTCATAATGTATGTTAAGTGTAGATGAAACAAG